GTTAGCTCTGAAGCTAATAGTGTTCGCTTTAGAGCTAATATGTATGGTGTTAGCTCAAGAGCTAATAGCGTCAGCGCCAGAGCTAATAGTGTTAGCTCCAGAGGTAATATGTATAAATAAAGTAATAAATAAAGTGCTATGTGTTTTCATCATTATATGTTCCCATACAGACAAAACTGACTCTCTGCATTTAACCCATTGCACCTGGGATACACTCAGGTGGAGCGGTGGGCAGCTATGTAGGCGCCTGGGGAGCAATTCAGGATTGAGTGTCCTGCTCAGAGACACCATGAGATGTGCAATGACCAGGGATCGAACCCAGGACCTTTGGGTCCCGAGTCGGCTGCCCTGCCCCTACACCATCTTGGCCCCATGTATGGCGTTAGCTAATGAGCTAATAGCATTAGCTTTGGCGCTAGTAAATTAGGCGTCACAAGTTGATCACATTTGATTGTTTCAACTATATATTGTGCATAAGGGCTAATACAAAATAGAACTTTGTCTCATGTTCTACATTTTAGTCCTGACTTATTATGTTTTAACCTCCACAACAACCAATGTACGTCATTGCCCCAGAATGCACTGCGCTGGTAAATTAGTGATGACCTCCTTAGCTGAAAATTTTAATAAACGTGTATAGTTTTTTTAAAAGTAATTACAAGTTGTCACGTATCACAAACAACTATTAGGCCAATATGTGCAAGTAGTCATATACTCCTTGAAAATCTTTGAAGCTGTGCGTTGTATCATCATTACATCCTAGATCAATAGATAAAACATAAAATTATTCTGAAAAATGTGCAGCTAAAAGTAAAACTCTGGAAACTTGTATAATCTAGGAGCGTGATTGTGTGTCACTCCTTTCTGACTTGCCTTGTTTATGTTCTAACCTTTTCTTTGCTCTCCTGGTCTGCAGGAAGTGCTGGAAGCGATCGCAGAGAGTGCGTTCAAGGCCTCACCGTACCCTGTCATCCTGTCATTTGAAAACCACGTCGAGTCGTAAGTCGTGTCTCCATCGTGCACCACATTGTTTGTTTTCATCATGAATGCAATTTAGCCTTTTTTTTATTTTTTAGAATTTTAGTACTTCATTGTTGACTGAAGCACTGCTGGGTTCTAGTTCAGCTGATTCTGTCATTACAGCCCAAAACAGCAGGCCAAGATGGCGGAGTACTGCAAAACCATCTTCGGAGACGCGCTGCTCGTTGAGCCACTGGAGAAATATCCGGTAAGATGGACATTTTAATCCAAGCTGCAGCTGAGTTCATCTTCGTGTTGTTACTAACATTCAAAGTATCCGATTCCTTAATATTTCTTGTGATACGTAGATCAGCTCAAGATCTCATGGACTGGACAAAATACCATTTTTAAAGCCTAATCTGGTCCGTGATGAACATTAAAGGTTGTAGCGCTCCTACACAAGAGCCAAGAGGACAAACTTAACTTTATTGTATGTCTAATCTGAGACAACCCATCTCTACAAATGAGGGGTGAATACCAGACAAGCTATTGCATGATCCAGTGGATGGTCCTTTCAGGAAGGGTCTGTATACTGGTAGATTGGTCAGCTAATAAACTAGGTTCATTTTTACCTTCTAATAGAGTTTACGTGAGTCTCCACCTGGGAATGATAAGATCATTAAAAGGCAGGTTCACCTTACACTGTGACTCGATGATTAGAGCAGTCATCCTCCAACAAGAGAATCAAAGGTTTGGTTCCACCAGTATACAGTCACAGGACCAAGTGTCCATGGGCAAGACACTGCCCTCATTGCCTCAGACGTGCCCCATCTGTGTATAAATGTGACGTAAAGCACTGACTAGACTCTACAGAACGATTCAATCAGATTCGCTTGGTAGAGACGCCACAGATTGTGTTGTGAAGCGCTTTGAGTAGCTTGGTTGGCTAGAAAGGTGCATTATACGTCCATTTCTGGTTTACCATGCCCCTTTTCAGGGCATGTCCCAAGATGGGGGTGTTGTTTTAAAACCCGTTTGCTTCAGTCCATTCTAAATTAGCTTTGGGCCCAGAGAAGCTGGTGTTCACATATGGATTCTTCTTTGCACGATGAGAGCTTTAATCTGCATGTGTGTATGGCTTGATGAACTGTGTTTTCAGACAATGATTTGTGGAAGTGTCCAGAACAGAATCCGAGCTGTTTTTAATGCAGTGGCCCCCGAGGGCCCGAAGATCACGACCATCCAATGTGGACTTTCAGCCTCGTCCTTGGAGCTCAGAGATTTCTACAGATTCCTGAAATCTTTTGATGATGATATTAACTGTAGATGATGAGAGATTGAAGGTGTTCCCAGTTTTCTGTACAGGAACGTTGTTCTGAAATTGTTCTATTTTTAGACACTGATTTTTCAGACTGGTGAACCTCTGCCCATCTTTACCTCTAAAATGCTCTTTTTATACCCTGTGCTCTTACTGACTTATTGCCAATGAACATAACTACTGTATTTTTCGGACTATAAGGTGCACTTAAAATCCTTAATTTTTTTTCTCAAAAATCAAGATTGACCTTATAATCTGGAGCACTTTATGAATTAATTCTGGTTGTGCTTACTAATCTTGAACTGATTTTATGTGGTACACGGCGCACTAAAATCTGTCAAAATGTTTTAGTTTCACTTAATGAGCCTTATGTAAGAAAACCGACCCATTCATGGATATTACGCTTTATAATCCGGTGCACCTTATAGTCCGAAAAATACGGTGGTTGAAAAATGTTGTCTCGTGTTATTTGCACAACTTTCTTTTACAGCCTTTTGTTGCTCCTGTCCTAAAATGTTTACAATTTCTTAGTTACCGGAGGGTCCGACGTACTAGATCAGTGCCATTCAAATGGTGGCCCATGGGCCAAATTAGGCCCAGCTAATGCAGTTTAATACAGTTTGGCCAACCAATGGGTTTGTATTTAAATAAAACTCGATTTTAAACTTTAAAACAAACTTACTGAATGACAATAACTACTGGATGTCCGGTCCTTGAGCTCTTGGCTTTCAGTAACTGTGCCCCACTGAGCAATTTAGTTGAAAAACCCAGAGCTAGATGGTCTTCTCAAATCTCTGGATTATTATTATTATTTTTTTTAAGTCAAAATAATCCTTTTTGGGCATACTAATGGGGAAAACTTTTTTTTTGTTTCAAAAATTGCCTTAAAATAAAGATTTTTTTTCAATTAAAAAAACCTGAATTGATTTTTTTTTTTAATTCACCTTTAGGGAGTACAATTTTTGAAAGTTGTTTAAATTTGATATTTTTATTTCAAGCTGAGATGCGTCTAAATGATTGACTAGTTTATTGTGGAAAAAATATGAAACGATAATATTTTTAAGCAGTTATATGAGGAGGCCGAGTTTTCCAAAGGAACGCTTATTGTCACAAAGTTAAAGGACCTTCTGAGGATTAAAGCTCGGCCCTGCTATCATTTTGTTCTAGATCAAACTCTACCGTTTATGTTCTTTCAGCTGAAAAAAGAACAGCCACTTCCCTCGCCGCAGGATCTGCTCGGAAAGATTCTCATTAAAAACAAGAAGAAGCATAAACCCAAGAGCAAGGGCAGCATACGGCGCAAAGAGGAGCCGTCGTTACCCGTCAACGGTAAGAACGTCTAAACCAGAGGTGGGCAGCATTTTTATGTCCCTGAAGGCCAAATCAAGATATTTAAAGCAATCAAAGGGTCACATAGAGAATTGGAAAAATACTTTTTCTTCAAGACGGATAATCTGGAAGACATTGTTTTTTTCTTGTTGTAGCAGTTAGTAGTTAGCACACTCTATAAAATATGTATTCCCAATACTCTTTAGAAATATGGCTTCTTTTTTTTCCATAAACTGGCTATATATTTGTTAGCCTAAAAAATAAAGGAAAGTTAAATCACGGGCCTTAAAGGTTCAGTCGGATTTTGGAAACACAACTGGTAGTTTTAGTCAATCCTAATCCAAAGGGTTTTGATGATTTTGTCCAAGATGTTTCAGTTAAACTTAAGTTCCGTTAATAAATGCAGGTTTTCATCAACTTACTTAAAAATTTTCGTTTTAATTAAGAATACAGTAGTTTCTCGATTACCGCTGGGGTTACATTCCACACACTCCCACGATAGGTGAAAAACCACAAAGTAGCAACTCTAAATTTATTTTGGTATTTATATACATATTAAGGCTTTATAAACTCTTCCCACACTCTTGCAATGTTCTAAACTCTTAAACCAATGTAGTTTTAACAACATATATATATGTATATGTATGTATGCTCAATAATCCAGGTAGAAAATCCAACAAAGTTCAGTCAGGTCATCTGGACGGTTTCTTTGTTGTTGTTGAGACGTTTCATCCTTCATCCAAAGGACTTCATCAGACCGAGGACCCACAACAAACTGAGTCCCAGAAGCAGCACACCCACATAGTGGACTGTATGTACTGTACAGTACTGCAAAATTTTACTCACCAGCTCTGCAGAACAGCAGCTCGGTTACGGTTCTTCAGACCTACCCTGCAGCGACGAAGCCCACCGCCCCGTCCAGGTTCATGTGCACGTGGATAATTGAGCTTCAGTATTATTTGTGACTTTCCTGCCAGTTCTGTGATCTTAATAGTTGGCGTAGATTTGTGTTGCAAAACTTTCACTCCATTTTGGCGGAAAGCAGTGGCCGGAAGCACTGTTGGCTTCTGGGTAGTGTAGTTCTTTGACTGGCATTACAGTGTAGGCTTACTGAAAGAAAAACTACAAAATGGTGGCGCCTGTCTGAAGTGTTTTTTTTTCCGTTAACTTTTATCCCGTACTATCCCAATCACGTGAGTAATGTTAAAGTTGACGATCATTGAAAAACCGCAGAAGAGCGAGTCTGTGAAAGTCGAACCTTGAAGTAGAGAGGGACTACCCTACTGTAATGGGGGCTGGATGGAGATTGTCCAAGGACCACCTTTGGCCCTTGGTCCACATGTTGTCCACGTCTGGTCTAAACTGTTTAATTTTACCCCTGTATTTCCACAACTCACCGTTAGTAGCCAACAAAGATTTAAGCAAATATCCTGTGCAGTGTGTTGCACTTAGAGTATGTGCTGTGGACAGCTCTCAGCCACTACCACGCCGGATTGTATCCCAGTGTCTGTCATATTGGCAGAATTTGTCTAACAAAGTTAGTGCTGTATGTGTTGGGTATCACTCTCAGCTACTAACACAACACATTTGAGCTAAACATCTGTAAAGTCTTGTGTTGTTGCCATTTTTGTGTTTCCTAATTTCAATTAGCTGTAGCCACCATCTTTTTTCCTTCATTCAACCTTTATTCATACAGGTTAATCCCATTGAGCCTCGGGGACTCATTTACAAGAGAGACCTGATTCTAACAGAGTGATGACAGCAGTGGAACAGCAAAGACAATAATAGACAATCATAAAGGATGCGAACAAATTGAGTTTTTTTTTTTTTTTAATCTCGACTCGGGTTAACCCCAAAAGTTAAATCAACTCTAGTTGTAAAACCGTTGACTACCTTCTGAGTCCACTGGTTCATTAGATCTTTGGTGCTAAACGCAGCTCAAATACCATTCACTGTGGATTCTATGTTTTTATTTTATTTTAACTATTTAGCCTTTTCTGTTTCAACCTCCCAGGAGGAGAAGGAGAAAGCGAAGACGACGAGGAATACGAACCTGTGACTGAGCCGAAAGGGTCCAACAGCGAAGAGGTAAGAGCCACCAGGAAAGGCTGATGGAAGCGGTTTTGGAGGCTTCATGAGCTGCTTGACTGGTTGGTGTCATCTTCCTCCCTCAGGGTACCGCTAGCGATGAGGTTGTGGCCACAGAGGAGATGTCGAACCTCGTCAACTACGTTGAGCCTGTGAAATTCAAGAGCTTCGAGGTGGCAACCGGTAAGTTCATGTTTGCGCACTATGATGAAAACGGTATTTGTGTGAGGGATCGAGTGTCTTTGTTAGCTTTAAGCACAGTTTCCTGGTATCATTCCTGATAGTTTTGTCTTGTTTAATGTTTTTTTTTATTTTCCAGAAAGGAAGAAGTTCTTCGAGATGTCATCGTTTGTGGAAACCAAAGGCCTGGACCTCGTGAAGAGTTTCCCCGTTGAGTTTGTTGAGTATCCTTGGAAACGTCATCCCTCAAGAGCTCATCTTGTACTTTCAGAGCAGCTGTCTGACCTTCTTGCTCGTATTTCTACACTTCAGAGCAGACATTCAAAGAAAACAACCATAACCCATCTCTGAGTTCTTATTTCATCTGGAATCCAGAGTTCAAACGGTTACATCATTGTAAGACAATACGATTGGTATTTTTGTTTCAAGTCTTTTACTTTTCAAATGATTCACCTGCAAGTATGGTCCACCAACTAACTTTGGCTTTGTCTGCTCAGACTAGCCATTATCTGGTCTGTTACGTCAGAATTAAACTATTTTAAAAAAAATGAGACGTCCATAGAGCTATCTACAACAGTTGGTATAATCTGGTAATAATCTAATCCTAAACAATGTTTTGAAGCACTTTTCTGAGCAGTGCCAACCACTAACAATGGTTTTAAACAGAAAAGCCCTAAAAAAAAATTATACTTTCCCTGCAAGCTAGTGGACTATTTTCAGTAAGAACCAGGAAATCCTAATATCTAAACATAGTTTGAGGTTTCCTTTTTCAAACGACCTCAAGAAATCTTCATAAAAATTCACTAAAAATAGGATTTACATTAATTTTCCAGGGGTTATTCTGGACAAATCAAGCCATATCTCTGAACCCACTCATAACTTCAGGATAATCTAGGTATCAAAATATAGCTTAAAAAGCCAGAAATCCAGAAACGTGCTTAGTTTCTTTTGACCAAATATGACTTGATCCCCTAATTGGCATGATGTGACCTGTCAATCAATCCAGTAGGCTTGTCAACAACTGACCAATGGGTGATTGCAATTTGTCCCCAAGTGAAACGCCTTGAAACACTTGGGAGCTGCACCCACTTTTCCTCTAACATTGGGGGTTTGCGTTACAAATGCTTTGAGATCTTAGGGATTTCATGAAAAATCATCAGACACAACGTTTAAACGTTGTCAATAGGGAACATACAGTTCAGACGCACGTTGCCTTGAGCGTTTACAGGGTGGAATACAGTTTATTCCATTTCCAAAACCTAAACGGAGTCCGAAAGAAATGTAAAAGATGGATAAAGCCCTGCAGCCAACCTCATGAGCAGCTGAATACACCACTGTACTTTCACTGTGAATTCTTGCCCCGTGTCACTCTGCGGCATGAAAACATCTACTGCAGTAACTGTTTGGAGTTATTAGTATCTTGTAATTTTTTTTTGCTTGTCTTCTTTGTCGTAACGTTTGCTGATAAGGCAGAAATGCCTCCGGTAATGCCATGAGCTTCACTACCTCCACCATTACAGCTATCTTGTTTGTTTGTCAGAGGTGATGGATCACACATGACGTAACTTCATCACTGTTTTGAGCCATGGCACCTTACCGCTTCACATTGTCGACCATTTCAGATCTGTTACTAACTCACTTCATGGCATTGCTTCGACTCCGCTTGCCACCTCAGTCCATTCAGAAATCACATGGAGGTGGCCAGGAAGTCATGGCTTTGAGGTGTTTTGTGAAAGATCCTAACACATGCTTTATCTTTGGAGATATCCATGGGTTTCAGATTGCAGTCTTTTCTCACAATATACATTTTATTTAATATTTTGATACTTAGACCTCAAAAGATCTAAACAATCGCTTTAATGGTGAGTTGCTATATACCAGTTGGTTGATTGTTACATTTGTACTTTAGCAGGATAACTTCCCCAGTACGACTTGGTGCTAAGTGCAATCTAAGTTTTCTGTTGCATCATATTCCGTGGAAAGAACAAAGAACAGACCCTAAGAACAGTGTCCATGGCTTTAATAGAAGTAAAATATCCACACCTGTCTCTATATGTGTTCCGTTAACTTTTTTGAAGACCGACGTTTTGGCCGTTGGCATTACACCAGGATCAGTGTTCGTCAAAATGGAATCACTTTGATTCTACGCTACACGGTCTTGATGGTTTTCAATGTAATCTATGTGTCTCCTTGATTTGGACGCCACCGCCCGGTACTTCTATGCAAGGCAAAAATAACACAGCAACCGGCAAACAAGTGCAATAACGTCACAAAACACTTACCATCCTCTGCCACACTTTCCAAAAATGCCATGGCTGAGTTGAGACCAACTTTCATCCGTCGTTCATCTTGCAGAAGTTCCTTTGCTCTAGTTCTGTATGAATTTTATAATCAATCAAGAAGCATGGAAACTGCCCCTCAAAGTACTGCTGTGTTGGTTTTTGTGTTGCCATTTTAACGGACATCTTATGTTAGGTTAAAAAAACCTTGTACTATGGGTGACGATGCTATACGCTCTGCTGTGTCTCAGGTTATAGGAACAGGTAGAGTTATTACAAACTAACAGAAGTTTTGGTCAAATCTTGCAAATTAAATAATATAGGATTTCATGCAGTATGCAATATCTTGCACAATCTGTTAGCACTCAGAAGTTTGTGTTTCAGCTATTACCACACTAAATTATCTGGAAAATTGGTCGAGTTGTAGCCATTTTCTTGTTGACTTAACGTTGATTAACCGTAACCGCCATATTAAACTTGGTTGACTTCAAAGACTATTCAACTGTAGATGTTCATCCAATGATTACATTAAGTTTTATTAAGATCTGTCCACTTGTTTGAGATCATTTGCAAATATGATGTACAATTGTAAACGCATACACATATGCACCATAACGATATAACTAAAGATAGGACCAGAAACCAGAAGCTAAAGCTACAATGATATCGATTGACAGCAGTACAACTTTTAAGTCCGCCCCCGTTTAAACAAATGAGACATTTTCCTGACCAAAGGATAAAAACACACTTTAAAAAGTGTCATGTTATGCTTTGATTAGTGTTTAGGTGGGACTTTCGACCCAAGGCTAGTGCACAGACATTGTCCTCAAAAATACAAAATGGCAGCACCCAAAAATGGACCATTTCAAGAAGGTGGAGACACTTTGGTCATCTTTATTAATGTTGATGGCACACCAAACACACAGGAAGAAAGATCTATTTGTAGCCTGTTTGAAGTAAAGTCTTCAAAACTTGTCATCTGGACTTCGTTTTTTTGTTAAAAAGAAACGTTTCGCCCCTCATCCAAGAGGCTTCGTCAGTCTGAGGCCTAGCCATCTGGTATTACCCAGAAGCCACCCTGACTCTTGTGTTTCAAGCCTGCCTCAGATACCCCTGAAGTCTGGCCTTTTCACTAATGGTTTCAAAAACACAAAGTTTGTTTTCTCAGTCATCCAGGTATATAACAACA